TCCAATTTTTCGTGTTTGAAATTATTACGCGAGTGTGTGATCGGGGTCCTTCATCATTTCGAAATGTTACAACAAGGAAAAGTCATTAATTAAAACGGGGGGGGGGGGTTCGATGGGGTAGGGGTAGGAGAAGGGAGTAGGGGAAGGGGGAAAAAAGGTAAACAAACGCTAAGTAAAACAAACGAAAGGAAAAATAATTAATTAATTAATTAATAAAATAATAGTTGTGTTAGTAATAATAATAATAATAATAATAATAATAATAATAATAATAATAATAATAATAATAATATTAATGATGATGATGATGATGATGATGGGGGAAAACGAGTAGGTAAATTATTTATCGGTTAATAATTGATTAATTAATAATTTTTTTTTTTTCCGTTTATTATCGATAAACGGTTTTCATGTTTTTGTTTTTTATTATTATTATCGTTATTATTATTATTATTATTTACTATTAATTTTTGATAACGAAGGCATCGGCGGAACCTTTTTTTTTAATTTCACGATAATACCAACGTTTCACGTTTTATGAATATTTAACAACGTGTGTGTGTGTGTGCGTGTGCGCGTGTGTTTGTGTCTTCGTGTAATGAATTATTTTGTATTAACGATTTTTTTTGTTCCCCCCCCCCCGTAAATGTTATTATGTCTTGAACTCATTTCTCTCTCTCTCTCTTTTTTTTTTTTTTTAAAGTTCGATTTTCCTTTTGAGGAAAGCTCGATGAAAGGAGGGGTGGGGTGTGGGGGGTTGGGGGGAAAGAGAGGAGGCGAAATGAAAATATTGTGATGTATTGTGATGTATAAAAAAAAAAAAAAATGTTTGAAAAAAAATTCGAACGTCTTGCATTTTAATCCTTTCGTGTTTATTATGTTATCCTGTTATTATTAATATTATTATTATTATTTGAGTGGTATTTCACAGGAAGAGAGAGAGAGAGAGAGAGAGAGAGAGAGAGAGAGAGTTTTCTTTTTTTTAAATAAATTAAATAATTTACTTTACCGTGCGAAGAATATTACTTTTTTTTTTTTTTTTACGATTTTTTGTTTTTACGATGCCATATTATCACCACCATTGTCATAATAATAATAATAATAATGATGATGATGATGATGATGACCCCCTCGATGAGGATATCAAATCAAAATTTGGGGGAAAATTTTCGCCGTCTTTTAAAATTTAAAACCTTTTCGATATATATATCGGATTATTAAAGCAAAAAAAAATAAAAAATTAAAATTTGTAATTGTGTCAGCTCCGCCTTTTACAAAAGGTTTTTTTTTTCTTTAATTTTTATGGAAAGCGGAAAAAAAAATAAAAGGAAAAGAATTAATAATAATAATAATAATAATAATAATAATAATAATGAAAAGTTTACGATTTAAAAAACGGGAGTAAAAAAAAACGCAAAAAAAAAGAATTTTTTTTTTTTTTGTAAATGGAAAAATTATAATCAAAAAGGGCGTTTCCATGCCGGAAATTCGTCGACATCGTCGTTGGAAAAACGATGACATTTAACACTCTTGGGTTATAAAAACGCAAAAATGAAAAAAGAAAAATCTTTTGTTGGAGTTTAAAAAAAAAAAATGGGGGGAGGGAGAGATGGAAAGGGGAAGGATTGGGGAAAAACGAAGAAAAGTAAAATTTATCCTTCTAGGGGGGGAGGGGAAAGTTGAAAATGTCGTTCGATGATGAGAACAATTTAGGCTAATTTTTCGTTAATTTAAAATTTTTCTCAATTTCCCCCCCCCCCCCAACTCGTGGAAAAACGTCAAAATTTTCCCAAAAAAATTTCTTTTATGTGCTTCAAAAAAAAAAAAAATTTTTTTTAAAATCAAAATGAAATCGTTTATATTTTTATTTATTCATGTGTTTCACAGGTGTTTCCATTATTTTTTTTTTTTTTTTATGTTTTTATTTCATAAAAGTTCTAGAAACGAAACGAAATGAAAGAAAAATAAGATTAAACAATAATATTTAAAAAGTTTTCTTCCTGTTATTAAATTTCCCCCCCCCCCCCCAATTTAAAAAAAAAAAAAAAAAAAATTTGCGTTTAGAAAAAAAAAAAAAAGGAAAAAAAAGAAAAACAAAAAAAAATTCAATTCGCGTTCGATTTATATTCTGTTATCATCTTCTCTCTCTCTTTCTTTCTCTCTCTTTCTCTCTCTCTCTCTCTCTCTTTCTCTCTTTCTCTCTTTCTGGAAAACATTTCGAAATAGTTTTTTTTTTTTT